ACTGGATTTGGGTTTTTTTGTCTTTAATCCATAATCATCAAAATTGAAACAAATAAAGGCTTGAAATATTTCACTTTGTGTGTAGTGAACTAATATAACATACAAGTTTCACTTTTTGAAACAAATTATTGAAATAAATGGACTTTTCCTCGATATTCTAATTTTTTGGCACATACCTGTAGTGATGCTGTCCAACGCTTTGGTCAACAGCTAAGGGCTGTGAAATGCGAGAATGTCCATCGTAGTATATCATATTACACAAAACATCTAAACAGCTCAGGTTAAATATTTGGAGCTTATCTGTTAGATGATATATTAAAACTAGAATATCACGTGGGTACCTGAGGTTCATGTCACCTTGCAGAAACAGAGCCAGGATGTTGGACAGACTTCCTCCAGGACAGCAGCCACAGATCAGAACCACCACCGCTTTCAGGTCATCCAGCTGGAACGCCTACAGTGCAGAATGATGGTGAACTCACACAAAGAGCTGTAAATCTCTGTTACTGATAACAATGTCTGGTAGCTGATATTAATAATGGTTCATGAACAAAAAGAATCTTAATCATGTAATATTATTGGGAATGTTGCCGCTGTCTTTTTAGGGGCTCCATAGTGATTGATGCAATCGTAAAATTTTAAAAAATCATTCCGTTCTTTTTATGGCCCAAAATGATTTATAGTTGCAGTAAATTACACAAATAATAGTAAAAATGTCATTTAACTACTTCAGTCACTACACAACTACTAGTTTAATCACATGCAGTTCACTACTCCTCATATAAGCAGGAAAATAGTTTAAATCAGAGTGAATGGGTGTATTGTTTAGGCTGCAGGAGGCCCCACGTGTCTCTATAGTAAAGTGTTATCAATGTTGTCTACCAGAACTCAGCAGCAATGCCGACCTTAGCTAAGCCAAAGGCTGTGAGCGGCATGACGCCATACTGGGCCAGCAACGCTATCACCACTCCCTTAGGCTTCACCATGTGTTGCTGAAAAGAAGGGAAAAGATGGTTTACAGAGACGATAATAAGGACCATTTGTTTTTCTTATTACTCTAATTATGCATGAATGAGTGTTTTTGAAGTCACCTTGATCTTAGACACCTCCATGGTGCATCCCAGTGAAACCATGACAATAGTCAAGACGATTATCATGAGTATGTTGATGGCTTTGTCTATTACTGGTGGCAAGATCACAGCGTAAGTGGAGCTGTTAGCGGCCGACATGTTGAACAGGAAGCTGTCATTTGGCCCGAAATCCAAATCAGAAAACTGTTTGGTTGTGTAGTCCATGTTGCCTTCTGTGATGGAGCGGCAGGTAATCCTAAAACAGAAGCACAAATAAACTACATACAATAGTTCTGGTGAAAAAAGATTTCTTCTGCTTTTGTTTGCCCAGAATCTTAAACCAGTAACTGTTGGGCATTATTTACACACATTATCTTCAAAAGAACTATCACCATCCTGAGTCTTTTTATAACCACTGCTTGTTTTTAATAAATAAGCCAGAGTGTATTTTACTGCTTTCTTATCCATTCTTCTACATTGTTTCTTGCTCACTGCTTCTGTAACCAGCATAGGTTGCTGCTGTATGGCGAGATCAGCCATCACAGTTACCTTAGTCTCGGTTCATAGTACACATTATATTGTCCTGAGAAACTTTAACCTGCATAGCTTCATAGTTTGAAACTTGTTCTTAGATATTCTTTGATGACACCATGAGCTAGGAGCAAGTGGGAAACATAGGAATTGAGAAAAAAGATCATTTTTTATAGTTGTTTGAAATTGATTGGATGTGGATTTGTATGAGACAATACACTATTTTTGCCCTATACTGTTTATTGCACATACAGGATGCTGGCTGATCTTTTCAGTGCACTTGCTTTCCAACATGACAGACACAATGCAGTCCAGGAATGGAAGATAGAAAACCTGAGGCTGATGATAGAAACCTGACAGTGGTCAGACAGACCCGTTGCATGTTTGAATCAGTTACACAGTTTTAGCAGCAGATGTAAAACTCGGCAATATAAAGACTCATTTCTACAGAATGTCTCTCAGATGAAATTGTACATTTTTGAGGAAAAACAGTTTTCTTTTAAACCTTACTCTGCTTTGTGTTTCAGTGCCAACTTAACTTTTCTCTCCTTTGTTAACAACCACATCCTCTCGACTGGCATACTCACATGCTGTGTCACAGGACTGTTCATGTTTGCTATTGCACCCGTAATGCGAAGCGCACAAGTATTTAAAAATAAAAAAAACCTGCACATCTCAATAAAATTTTTTTAACAGCTACTGACCAACGTCTTGACTGTTCTGAAGGTGAGAACTGCATACCTGTGCCTGGAGGTCTGTTTATACAAAATAGAAGAGAACTCCCAAGTGGATTTCTCAGAAACAAACACTTATCCCTGTGTGACAGATATGTTTGCAGCTATCTTTCATTCAGCGTGTTACCTGTTGGGTCAGAGGTTCTTCCTCTCCTTTCTTCACTTCTCTCTGAGACACAAACAAGTCCTTCTGTGTTCCATATGTCAGTCACAAGTGGCATATGAAGGCTACAGATGTGCAGAAGTGCCATCTAGTGCACAGTTGACTTCTGCAGCTTGAGATGAGAAGGCTTGTCAGAGCTGACCTTAAAAACAACAGCCTAAGTTTTGAGAAATACATTGTGTTGTGGTGTTTAATATCTAACCGAGTTACTGTTGGTATTCAAAGATTTTCCCAAACATTAAAAACTCTTGACTTGTCATTAAATTACTTACATATGCAATGACAGATTTGTATTTTATTTATTACATTTTTATCATTATTGAATGTCCTGTGTCTTATGTTTATATGTCACTTGAATGCCACTGTTAATTTTGTTGTATTCTCTGATACACTGATAATAAAGGCTTTCTGATTCTGAAATTAGTCCCAGTGTCTGGGTTCTTTGGGGCAGTATTCACTCAGTGGTAGAGGCTGTTCACTTTGTGTTCAAAAAGCAGAGACATCCTGTTGCTTAATACAATAGGATTAAGTTTTCTGGAAGTACCCCATGTCTTGTGAGCTCTTAACTTGGCAGCATGAATTTGCCTGTCCTCTTTTCTATTCCTACACAGTATGCACTGTCAGTGTTTTTTAAGATGACATGTAAAGAGAAGAGAACAAACATGGGAGACAGTTGTAGTGTCAAATCAGTGACAATTAACCTGCTTTTTGGAAACATTACAGGTTGTGTGTTTATCTTGCTAAATCAGTGCAGAGTCAGTTGAGGAAGCCAGTGCTTCTCCTCACTACAGAGAACGAGGTCAAAGTCGACTCGCATCATAAGAGGCTTTTCTCCTTCACCTTCAGTGTGTGAAGGAGTCCGAGCTTTCAAGTTACTGGTAGTTTGGACAGTTGTTGAGTCTGTCTTTAAATCTATATATTTGCTTGTAAAGTGACTGAGGTAGTCAGGAGATGTGCAGGAAATGAGGCAAAGTCGAGGCAAATGCAGGCTAGATCATGGAGCCCTACTGAGCTGGGGCTGTGTGCCATGGCTCAGCAGAAGATGCACTTACTGCTT